TATTAATATATTAGCATGTGTGCTTATGTTTGTAAATACATTTCGGTAAGAAGAATAAAATACTTATCGCATTTGTTTCTAATAATTCACTCACTAATGTTAGATTACATAAGTAAAGGATGAACAAGAAAATGCATAAAGCAATGACAGTCCTGATCGTGGAAGAAATTATGAATATATTGAAGCTTGTTTTCTTGTTTGCTTACATTTACTTAAAATTGGTTTTTCCTCACAAGAGTCGCCGTAGAGGTAGGCTGCGTCGTGACATGCGTCATATTTACGTGCATTTTATAGTGCTTTTTGTGTCTGTTCCGTCGTAGTTTGATATATAATTAGTTATTATTTAATTAATTATATATTTAATTAATTCTATTAAGCTATGATGAGGTGTTTTATTTTGAGTTTAACGGGAAATAGGGCTGAGTTAATTTTTGGAGTCGAGAACGGCGTAAAGTGGATACAAACGGGATGTGGTCGTGCAGTGAAACAAGCCCAACATACAGCCCTTATGATATATGAATTAATGGCTGCATAAGCTAGTTGGGCCGGCCCAAGAAGATTACAAATAAGCAAGTGATGGGCCAACCCACAAGATGTTTAAGTTGAGGGCAATAGCGTCTTTTCAGTGTAAATTGGGCAGCATTTAACTTCATCTCCTTCATGCTGCACTTCACGTACATCCGCCATGCCTGAACTCCACCAAGCTCGCCACCTCGCCACCACGCCGCTAACCAGACGCCGGAGACAACTCTCAGACCACCGTAGTCATCAGTTCACCGGATAAGCCGCTAGACGTCAAATCCGCGCCGGAGAAACTGCCGTGAGGTGGCCGGAGACACCATGAACGACGAGATGCCTGGACACCTGCCACTGAATCGCGAACAAATGCATCCCGGACACCGTAGAATCGGTACAGAACTGTTGAATGCCGCCGGAGATGAGCGGCGGGAAGTTGCTGCTACTCGTCATCATCCCGGAGGGTGGCGGGAGTTGCTGGAATATGTTCGAAACTGTCATGTTATACGTCTATCAACCGTCTTAAGCGCTGTCGTCGGGCTGAAAATGCAGCAGGAGGCGAAATCAACTCCGAAAATGATGTTCTGAACGCCCAGGTGCACACGAGTCGTGTGAGATCGAGACACGACTCGTGTCGTTCGAACGGGTCGCGCAAACAGCTCTCGACTTTTTCACACGACTCGTGTGGCTTGTGACACGATTCGTGTGACCCTGGGCGCAGCAAAATCGGTTTTACGCGTTTTTCCTATTTTTTCGATATTTCCGACCTATTTCGACTAGGACTCGACCCCATCTATTTAAGAGACACTTGGACACGTTTTTGGGGGGTCTAGAACCTAATTTTCAGATCTTTGGAGAGCTTTAGAGACGAGAAACACGAGCAAGAAGGGAGAAAGCTGGGAAGAAGGGATCGACGGAGCCGAATAAGCTTTTTCTTTCTTTTTCCTTCCTCTTTTCGAACTCAATATTTTATATTTATTTTTCCTATTTTGAAAGCATGTTTCTAGGCTAGATTTATTTAGATTCTAGAATTTGTTAGTACTCGGATTGATTTATAGTTTAGTTTTTATTTATTTCATTCCAGTTTATCTTTCGTTTATGAATTTCTTTTGCGTATATTTATTGTGTGAGTAGATGGCCACTATGAATGCATATTTGTAATCGATTTGAGACCGAGAGGAGATAATTGATTGCTAGAATTGGGAAATTTGTAACGTAAGAGAATAAACAGACCGAGAGGTTGATAGGACCTTGCGAGAGAACGAAAATCCTAGGAACTTATGGGAGTTAGTTGTTCATCTTGAGACCGAGAGGAGATAAATAACAATTAATATCTACGATTTGCTTGTTCGAGAGAAATGTTGAAATCAATTTAGCGATTATCTCTACGATTGGTAAAATTAAATAAGGTTTGTTTGAATATAAACGTTTCATGAATTAATTCCGAGGAACACTTAACTTAGAATCTATCTTTTGCATCTTATTTTATTTTTATTTCATTAGGTAAATTAGTTCTTAGTTTAATTTCTTAGTTCATAATCATCATCCAATTCATTAGTCTAGATAATATTTAATCGTTATTATTTTAGTACTTAATTAATTTAACTACAATCTCTGTGGAATACGACCTTGCTCGCCACTACCTATAGCTACGCAGTACACTTGCGGATAGCAAAAATAATTAGCGAACAAGTCGTCAGCGAGTAACTTACCGAATGGCAGACAAACTTCCTAGCCAAATAAAACACATGAACCAGTAAATAGATATTAGTGATGAAACATGTGTTCAACAACTACGCATGGACCGTAATGCCTGGTAGGTTGTGTTATTGGTACAACATGTTGGTGGTCTTCAAAACACAAAAAATGTTCAAATAAGTGAACAAGTTACAATCTTTTTGAGTGTATTAGTCCACCATAAAAAAAATGTTGTCGTAAAATTTGATTTCAAAAGGTCTGGACAAACAATTAGCAAATTATTCCATAGTGTACTTCGCTCCGTGCTACGATTGTACCCACTTTTCTTGGTACAACCAACCCCAGTGAATGACTCGTGTACCGATTGGAGATGGAAATGGTTCAATATAACAATATAAGAATCTATAATTTAATAAGCCACTTAAGTTAAATGTATGATTATTTAAAAATATATTGTCCCCCTCAAAATTAATTTCTGGATTTGCCCCTGCCTCCTAATTATCGTCTAGTGCTGCCCCAAGCTATCTTGGAGGCATTTGTGACATCCAATTTATGAAGGTGGTGACGGGTTATCTAGAGGTGGCAAGGGCCAACCCGTCTTGCCGAACCGGTCTGGACTGAGGGTTTTGGAGCTAGACCCGTGAAAAGAACTGAGGTCTTAGTTTTTCTTTTTTGACCCACCGGTTCCAGGCCAGTTTCGGGCCATAAGACGGGTCCTAGTTATTTTTTACTAGTAGATATTCTGTGCACATGCACAAATGTACATAAAATATTAGTAAGTAATATTTGAGAATTTAAGATTAAAATTCTAGATAATGAACATATTACATTTTTAAAAATTCGATCATTAGGAAAAATAAATTAACGATTTTATTATTATGAACAATTGTTAATTATCATTAGATAATAACAGTTTGATTATTATTATTATTATTATTATTATATTATTATTATTATTATTATTATTATTATTATTATTATTATTATTAAAAAGCAATTGTTTATAAGCTTCTAAAGTTGTTTGACTATGCTATTAAAACAATTTACTAATTGTTTTTAAAGAAATTTTTTCATGAGATACAAAAGAAAAAGATAATATTGATGTTAATATAAATAACTTGAAACAATTGATTATAATTATGTAATTTATATTTATTGTGAATTATTATTAGTTGGTATTAGCAATAACTATTATATAATATAATAGAAAAATACATGATTACACTTAATAGGATATGTTAATGTGAGAAGTAAAAAAATATTAATGATAAATTTTGTAACTGAAAATAAAGGGAAAATTTTAGAGGTTTTATTAAATAGGTAAAATTAAATGCTAAGCTAGCAATTATATATATATATATATATATATATATATATATATATATATTATTAAAAAACAATTGTTTATAAGATTCTAAAGTTGTTTAACTATGCTATTAAAACAATTTACTAATTGTTTTTAAATAATTTTTTTTATGGGATACAAAAGAAAAAGATAATATTGATGTTAAAATACATCACTTGAACAATTGTTTATAATTATGTAATTTATATTTATTGTCAATTATTATTAGTTGGTATTAACAATAACTATTATATAATATAATAGAAACATACATGATTACACCATTAAGATGTATTAATGTTAGAAGTAAAAAATATTAATAACAAATTTTGTAACCGAAAATGGAGGGAAAATTTTAGAAGTTTTATTAAATATGTTTTATTAAATGCTACATGCCAGCAATTATATATATATATATATATATATATATATATATTATTTTTAATTAAAAAAAGTCGAGGGTTCAAATGAACTGGCCAGACCCTTAGATATAGACGGGTCGGTTCCGGGCCCAGTATGTGAGGCCCGTAGATTCGGCGGGCCGGGCTGGGTCGTTGAACGCCTCCGCCTTTGGACACTATCCAGTAATTGAGAGATACTTATATTGTACCATAATTAATAATCATTGAGTTATAAGTTGTAGAATCATATTCCTCACAATTGTATGTATGAATGGAATCCTCTTTAGATTTTTATATTTCTGTCAAACTTCCACATTAATGTCACAAAACTTAGCTTGCTTAGTTTGAACTATGAAATGTTTATTTTAAAATAAAGTTGTGTGTGTTTGACTGCAGATGCATAACAATGACCCACACGTTTTTTACATGTTTATCTTAACAGGCTTTAAATTAGAAAAATATGCTAAGGTCCGTTACTGAATTATTCGGTCCGAGTTGATAACCGTTAGATCATCATGTAATCATCAGAGATAGTTGATGGAACGATTACAAACTCGACGGATAGAGATAGTTGATCTAACGGTTACAAATTCAATGATCATCATGTAACCATCAGAGATAGTTGATCGAACGGTTATAAATTCGACGGAATGGTTCCGGGACTCTAACATCTTCTCTTTAATTAACCGCTATAAGCTCCGGGAATTTTAGTGTCGGACCAAACTTTCAACAACTTTGAATTTAAAAAGGAGAAGCTTCCTCCATCTCCTCCACCTCTCATTCCGTTTCTCTTTTACGTTTCCCACAAAATCAACGCCGAAATTTCCGTATCATTGCTTTTGTTTTTTTTTTTTTTTCTTTTTTTTCTCCGTTTTTTTTTCCCTTTGCTTGCTTCTGTTTCCGGTTCCTACTTTCCCATGGAAAGCGGGTGAGCTTCTTCAATTCAGTTCATGGGCTGCTGAAAGTGGCGAGGTTGGTGTATTTGATGAGGAATTAGTTGATGTATTTGATGAGGAATCTCGATATTTATGTGGCCTGATATGGGGCCGGAGCTTCTCAGGGATCGGTGGTCGTCGATGGCGACGACCTTCTACTCGGGCTGCCTCTGTTTGGCTCTGGTGCTTGCAAGGTTATCGCCGGTTTTCGCCAATGCTGAAGGTCTGAAATTTCGCTTCTGTTTATGGATTTTTGAAGTCTTTTTTAGCTTCTGTGTCCATTTTGGGCTGGTGAGGTTTCTGTAACTATTGCTAGTTGACTTGAACTGAGATCTGCACGAATGGTTGTTACTTGTCTTTTTGTTCTAGTTCTGTAATTTGTGGGCTTTTAAGCTAGTTCAAGATTATAGACTTTTTGGATCATCCTTCTATATTGGGGATGTCATTGTTCTAATTTTGTGGCCTGTGCCAATAAAATGGTGAGTTATGAAATAGAAATGATTTTAGTTTGTTGACTGACTGGGAGTTGAATCAGAGTTTGTGGTTCTCTAATCAAGATGAGTTTCAGTGTCTATCTTGATTTGTGATCGCCTGAAATATTTATGTGCTGCATGATTAGCTGGGTATTTGAAGGTATCATGCTCTTTACTTGTATCCTAACTGGAATTTTTGAATTGAAATGTGCTAATGTAAGATAGTTATATGTGACAGGTGATGCATTGAATGCGTTGAGGAATAGTTTGTCTGATCCTAACAATGTTCTCTCGAGTTGGGACCCGACTCTAGTTAATCCATGCACTTGGTTTCACGTCACATGCAACGGTGAAAATAGTGTTACTAGACTGTAAGCACGGTTTTTTTCTCCCTCATTTTGAGATGGTTTACTGGACCTCTTGCAGCATTATGGGTTGATGGAATATCATTATTGATCTTTGTTTGCAGTGATCTTGGCAATGCAAATTTGTTAGGCCAACTGGTTCCACAGCTTGGTCAGCTCCAGTATTTGCAGTACTTGTGAGTCATCCTTTACAATTCTGAATGATCCATCATTTGGTTTTCAAAATGACTGTCTACTGTCCTCAAGGAATGGAAAGTCATGATTCACGTTACATATGTTAGATGCATTACATGTGGTCTTATATTTTGTATTGATGGTCTAAATTTAAATCATGTGAAGCTCAACAGCTTTTGTTGGTTATAAGAACCTCAGTCAATAGATAACCTTCTTTGGGCAATCTTTCTGGCCTGTCCCAAACTGGAGACAATATTCTAAACTAGTATAACAACTCCTTGAAATTTTAAGATAATACTACTGTTTATTTTGGTTTAAAAGGCATGTCGTACACAAATAGTTTATGGTATTTTATAACTAACACATAAAGGCTTCCATTGAAAACTAAAAAGAACGTGTCACCATCTCCGTCTTTCTATGGCAGGGAACTGTACAGTAATAATATTAGTGGAAGGATTCCAAGTGAAATCGGAAACTTGACCAACTTGATTAGCTTGGATTTGTATATGAACAACCTAAGTGGTCCAATCCCTGATACATTGTCGAGGGTCCGGGGGCTACGATTCTTGTATGGTCTCAATTCTGTACTCTCCCTTTATTGCTCAAAATTGTTTTTTTCCTAACTTTTAGGTAAAATATATGTCATTTATGACTAGATGATTACGGGGGTTTTGAATTGTTTTGTTTTCAAATGCTAAGTAGAATAATTGAAGGCTCTGCTCATAATTTGTTTTCATCCTTTAAAATCATCATGTTTTTTTGCATAACTTGAAGTTAAAAATATTGTGAGGGGCCGAGTGGGCAAAAATAGCATGTTCTTTATGACCATTAAGTATCATTTTTGGCTTCCACGTCATTGGTTTAAGATTTATGAGGATGTGGTTCCGTCAAGAGATAAATATGCTAAACTTCTTGTTTTCTTTTTCCTTTTTTTTTT